CGAGATGGTGAAACGTCCCGCGGCATGGCAGGAGCGGTCGGGAAGGGAGGAGGGGGGAGGGAAGGCAGGCAAGGGAGAGGCGGGGGGCGCGGGACTCCGGGCACTGCGGTCTGGAGGGGAGGGCAACTCTCTCCGTACGAGGACAGGGCAGCACGCCCTCGGTGCTGACTTTTGGACGCTCGGGGGGCCCTCCCCTGAGGAAAGGGGGAGGGGGGGGGGGGCGGTAAGGGGAGGAGGACGGGGGGGGGAGGAAGTGAGAGAGAGGAGGAGGGACGAGGGGGGAGGGAGAAAGGACGGCGGATGGGGGAAATGGAGGGGGTGGGGGGGAGGGGGAGGAGAGATGGGAGGAGGAATGTATGAGGAGGGAGAGAGGGGCAGAGAAAGAGGAAGAGAGGATGGATGAGGCGGGGGGGGAGGACCAGGGGAAAAGAAAAATGGGGCGCGCAAGCAACCCAGTGTAATGTGCAAGCAGTCATGGCTCGAGGATGACGACAGTGACGACGAGGAGGAGGCGGAGCAGGAGAGAAGAGGGAAGGCGTAATGTGAGGGGAGCGGTGATGGGTAGCAGGGAATGGAACACCTGATCAGTATCAACATCATCATCCATACCACTATCATCAGCATAAAAATCAGCATAACCATCAACATCACCATTATCACAACCATCATCACCATCACCATCATCATACTCATCATCATAATCATTATCAGCAGCATAATCATCACCGTCATCACCAGCATACATCAGCATCAGTAGCAGCATCAGCGTCATCAGTATCAATCGGCTACACGCAAGAGTGACTCTGGGTAAGAGTGACCTTTGGTGCGCGGCTTTGGGGGGGCCGCGGGGGGACCAAACATGGGTGCGCAAGCAGCTGCTACTGCTTCGTTTTCGGCCATCTGGGGGCCCATCTCTGCCCACACCAAAGGTCACTCCGGCGAAAGGTCACTCTTACGTCTAGTCGAATCAACCATATCACAATCCGCCGGCCCCCTTGCGGTGCCATCAGGCTGCGATGATTAAGCTTGCTGCTCCCTGCACCAGTTCCAGTTTCCAGTTTCCATTGTTACAGTACAGCTTTCTGCTTCCTACTGTAAATTGTTACTGTCCGCGCGAGGGGGGGAGCCGAAAACCACCCTGGTTAGCACCCCCCGGGAGGGTTCTCAGAATTCCTGGGGGGGTAAAAATTGACGCCCCTCACGCAGATCGGCGGGGTCAGGGTCCAAAAACAGATGCGATTTGAAACATGTCTGAAATTCGGTGGCACCCCTGACGCAGATCGGCGGGGTCAGGGTCCAAAAACACTGGGATTTGCCACATTTCAAAAAATTCGGTGGCACCCCTCACGCAGATCGGCGGGGTCAGGGTCCAAAAACACATGCGATTTGAAACATGTCTCAAATTCGGTTGCACCCCTGACGCAGATCGGCGGGGCCAGGGTCCAAAAACACGGGATTTGCCACATTTCTGAAATCTGGTGGCACCCCTCACGCAGATCGGCGGGGTCAGGGTCCAAAAACATAGAAGTTTTGCCGCATGTTTTAAATCCGGTGGCACCCCTCACGCAGATCGGCGGGGTCAGGGTCCAAAAACATAAAGGATTAGTTAATGTCTGAAATTTCCTGGCACCCCTCACGCAGATCGGCGGGGTCAGGGTCCAAAAACACACGGGATTTGCCACATTTCTGAAATTCGGTGGCACCCCTCACGCAGATCGGCGGGGTCAGGGTCCAAAAACAGATGCGATTTGAAACATGTCTGAATTTCGGTGGCACCCCTCACGCAGATCGGCGGGGCCAGGGTCCAAAAACACTGGGGATTCGCCACATTTCTGAAATCCGGTGGCACCCCTCACGCAGATCGGCGGGGTCAGGGTCCAAAAACAAATGGGATTTGAAACATGTCTGAAATTCGGTGGCACCCCTCACGCAGATCCGTAGGGTCAGGGTCCAAAAACAGAAGGGATGTGCCACATGTCTGAAATTCGGCGGCACCCCTCATGCAAATCGGCAGGGTCAGGGTCGAAAAACAAATAGGTCCCGACACTGCTTCACGGCAAAGCCAAAGCCTCATGACTTCGCTCTTCCATGGCCCATTCTCCGAGAGAGGGGGCCGGCGGCAGGGGGCGAAGCCCTTACGGATAATCACCATCGCTGATCTCCTCATCATGGCAACCATGAACAACAACATTGTCGTCACGAACATCGTGGCAACATCGTGGTCCGTCCTGGAGGCCTCTCTGAAGTGTCTTGGAATGCTTTTTGGACAGTATGGGAGACATCTTGAGCTGTCAGGGGCTGGGGCAGATCGTCATAACGACCATGTTCATGATGAACAACAACATCATCATCATCACCACCGCTACCATCATCATCATCATCATCATCATCATCATCATCATCATCATCATCGTCATCATCACCATCATCATCAGCATCAGTATCATCAGCATCATCGCCATCATCATCATCAGCAGCATCGTCAGCATCACCATCAAAAATCAACATCATCAGCATCATCATCATCATCGTTGCCGTCGGCGTCATCATCACTACCATCAACATCATAATCAACATCAGCATCGTCATCATCATCATCATCATCATCATCATCATCAGCATCAGCATCACCGTTATCGCCAGCATCATCATCAGTATCACCGATGTCATCATCGGAATCATAATCATCGTTGCAACAATAAACGTCAGTCTCGTCGTCGTGAACATCTTGGACATCTTGGTCCGTCCTGGAGGCCACCTAAAAGCCAGTTGGGAGCCTCCTGGAGGCTGCTGGGCCATCTGGAAGCCATTGAGCTGTCTGGTGGTGGGGTCTGTTTCATCATCGTGATAGTCATCACAGCATCATGATCATCATAATCATCACTAATACCATCACAACCACCATCTTCGTCGTCGTCATCGTCATCATCATGATCAGCATCACCAGCACCATTATCATCATCATAATTATCACCATCATTGCAATCATCCCGATCATCTCAATTATGCACACCAAGATCATCGTCATGCAACCCCCATTATTGACATTGCTGTCGTGTCGTCGAGCAGATGTTCGCTTGCTGCGTGTGAGGTGATCGGACGGGCCGTCGGGTGTCGACAGTGAAGGGGTCCAGCATCAGGTCGGATGCGCGCCTTGGGGAGCATTGTCGAGGTGTGGGGGCTCGGAACAGGCCTTCGGGAGACTTGTTGAAGCATGCTGTGTGCCTGTGAGTCTCTTGAGGTCTCTTGGAATGCCGCTTCGGGCATGTCGAGCCAAGATCGGCGTTATAAACGTCATCATGATGGTCATGATTTCGTCATCATCATCACCAACCTGATCATCATCGTCATCATCCTGACCAGAATGGACATCGTCATCACTGTCGTCGTCTCTATCGTCATCACCATCACCATAGCCATCATCATCACAATCATCATCGTCATCATCATCATCGTCATCATCGTCAGCATCACCAGCAACAGCATCATCATCACTACCATCACCATCACCACCATAAAAAAGCATCATCATCACCAGCACCAGCACCATCAACATCATCATCACCAGCATCATAATCATAAACATAATCATCCGCCTCATCATCATCATCATCATCATCATCATCATCGTCATCATCCTCGTCTTCATCACCACCATCGCCATCACCATCATAATCATGATCATCATCACCATCATCATCAGCATCAGCATCATTATCATCATCATCATCAGCATGATCATTATCGTCATCAAAATAGCCATGATGAACATGATCACCATCATCATCATCATCATCACTATCATCATAATCGTCATAATCATAATCATGAGCACTGTCATCATCGTCGTCGTCGTAATCGTCATCGTCATCGTCACCATCGTTATCATCATCAGCATCGTCATCAACCTCATCAACATCAGCATCAGTATCAGTATCATCATCATCATCGTCCTCGTCATCATCAACATCATCGTTCACACCATCTGCATCATCGCCAGTCGACTGTCCTGGGCGGCTCCGCGGAAGCGATAATTGCGAGATCTTGAAAAAAACTGTCCTTTTCTAGGTTTTCGCCTGAATTTACCACTCGGGGGAGCCTCTTCGGGGCCTCTTGAGGCCGTCTTGGGACCACCTCGAGGTGTCTCGGGTGGTCTGGATGCCGTCTGGGGCCGCCTGAGCGGGCTCCAGGGCCGTGTTCGGGTCGTCTGGGGGCCATCTTGGAGGGTTCTGGGGCTCCTGCTCCGCCCACAGAAGCTTCAGGCACCTAGTTTTGGCCCCGCGCTCCGCACGCGAATGATCGAATCCGTGGCCTGGGTGCGCACGCCCTGTGTCTGAAGTGCTATTGAGGCTTGGTGTTCGCGGCAGTCCTGGGCAACCCTTGGACAATTTTGCATCTCTCGTCTGGACCATTTGGGCGTCCACGGCCATCTTGGAACCACGCGTTCACAACGCACGGGAACGCCAGAAAAGAACGGTTTACGGTGGGAATCGCTTCTGGTTATCCCGACAATTCTGTGGTGTTGGATCCTCGGTTTGAAAAGACAGTGCCCCACGTTCCTCCTCCCGCGTTCCTCCTCTCCTCCTCCTCCTCCTCCTCCTCCTCCTCCTCCTCCTTCTTATCCTCAACCTCCTTCTCCTCCTCCTCCCCCTCCTCACCACACCTCCCTCCTCAACTACCATCATATTCATCAGAATCATGATCATCAGCAGCATCATCATCATGCTTACGATCATCATCGCCATCATCATCAGCAGCATCATGATCAGCAGCATAATCGGCATCAGCATCAGCATCAACATCATCATCATGACCATCATCATCAGCAGCATCATCATAATCATCATCATCATCAGCATCATCATCATGGTCATAATCATCAGCATCGTCATTACTATGATCGTCGTCGGCATCATCATCGGCATCATCATCAACACCATCATGAGCATCATGATCACCACGATCACAATAACTAGCATGACCATCATGATTATCGTGCGCATCATCATCATCATCACCACCATCATCATTACCGTCACCATCATCATAACCAGCATCAGCAACAGAAGCAGCAGCAGCATGGTCATTATCGTCAGCATCGTCAGTCTCATCATCACCATCAGCAGCAACAGCATCAGCATCAGCATCAGCATCAGCATCAGCATCATCATCATCATCATCATCATCATCATGACCATCATCATCTTCATCATCGTCTTCATCATCATCCTCAGCAGCAGAAGTAGCAGCAGCAGCATCACATCATCATAATCGGCGCCACACGTGAATCACCACCATCACCATGATCGCCGGCACGCCCCTCGCACGTGTCGCTGCCCTGTACGGAGCCCCACCGAAGGCCCCAGTGGCTCAGCCCGCGTGCGTCCCAGCCGCTCATTTCGGCACACCCCTCACGCGCTTCGTGGCCCCATACGGGAGCCCCACCGAGGGCCACGGTGGGGCAGCTCGCGTGCGCCCCGGCCGCTCCTCTCGGCACCACCCCGCATGCGTTCTGTGGCCCCACCGACGGTCCCCGTGGCGCAGCCCGGCATGCGTCCCGCGACTCTCACGCGTTTCGTGGCCCCAGGGGCGCAGCCCGCGTGCGTCCCAGCCATCGGGGAGGCCCCCAGAGAAGGAGGCGCCACTCAGTCAGAGGGCACCCAAGGGGTGCCCCGTGGCTGCTGCGGCCCGGGGCCCCCGGGGTCGTGCCTCCGGTGCACGGGTGGAAGCTGGTGGTGCCAGGAGGCAAGGTGGGAGGAGAGCGTTGGCAGGACGAGCAGAGCGGGGAAGGCGTGAAAAGGCGGAAGCCAGGTTGTGGAGGAGGGAGGTGGTAAAGAGGGGCGGTGGAGGGAGGAGGCGGACGTAGAAAATGAATGGGTGAGGGGGAGGGGGAGGGGGAGGGGGAGGAGGAGGAGGAGGAGGAGGAGGAGGAGGAGGAGGAGGAGGAGGAGCAAGAGGAGGAAGAGGAGGAGGAGGAGGACGAGGGTAGAGGGAGGACAGAGGGATGCGCAAAGTGAAAAGGAAAGGGAGGGGAAGGGGCAGGGCGGAGGAACGAGGGATGACGGGGTGATCACCGATGCGGGGTTGAGGATGGAGGGGGCAGGAGGGCGAATGTACGAAGTAGAGAGCAGGAGAAGTACGGAGGTACGAAAGGACGGAATAAAGTACACACGAGGAGTGAGTACGGGATAGGGCTGGATGAGGAAGAAGGCGGAGGCAAGATGGGCATGAAGGAGGAGGGCACATGAAAGAGAGAGAGAGGATGCGAAGTAAGAGAAAAGAGGGTGTTCATGGGTGGGAAGTGCAAAGGATGAGAGTAGAGGAGGGAGGAGAAGGAGGAAGAGGATGAGGAGGATTGCGGGGGAGACTGTTGGTATACTTTCTGGAATGGATGTGTCTTCGATGTCACGCGTGCAAGAAATATAGTGTAGTCTCTACGGGCGTCCATTGGGGGTCTCTGGGGGGCTTCTTGGAGGCTTCTTGGGGTGCTCTGGGCCGTCTTGGGCTCCTCTTGGGCCGTCTTGGGGCAATCCTGGGTTTCCTTGGGCCCTTTTGGGGGCATCTTCGGTGGACTTGGGGTGCTCTTGGGGGCCTCTCGGGGTCCCATGCGACGCTAGTGGGACAGCAGAAGCGAGCATGCCAAACATAAACGTTTTCCCCGGGAAACAGGGCGCTTTGTGCTACGCGGGGCTCTCGAGAGGGCTATCTTGAAGCCATCTTGGGGAGTAGAAGAAGCAGAAACAACTCCATAAACATAACCTTCGGCGCTCCGCGCGGATTCTTGGATCTGCGCTGGACCTCCCTCCCTGGCGCGCGGAGCGCACCGGGGGCGGAGCGCGCCAGGGGCGGCGCCGCAAGCGCCGCCAAGGGGCCCCAGCGCGGATCCAAGAGAGCCGCGCGGAGCCCCAAAAGTTTATATGTTTATGGCGTCGTTCTTCTTCGATGCTCGTAGCCAGGAAGGGGAGGATGAGGAGAAGGAGGAGGAGGAGTGACGCAGTGACAGAAGGCGAACAAACAAGGTAAGCAGCGGCGCGCGCATCTGGGAAAGATGCGCGCCTGTTCGCGGGCGCGGCAGGGCCCAAAACAGGCGCGACGTCCAGGCCAGACATTTGGACACCCGAAATGGGTACCGAAAGAATGGGTACAATGCCCAACAACAAATGTTGTCCCAAACCAACAGCGGCCGCCGTTGGGCAGGCGGCCTTCTGTCTCGAATGGACACAGGCCGCGGCGGCGTGGGCAGCGAATCCTGTTCAGAATGAACAAGAACTGCTGCTGGACATCGTACCCATTCTTTCCGTGCCCATCTCGGGCATCCAGGCCAGACAGGGAGTACCCAGGCACAGCAGCACCCGGAACACGGAGCCCCGACGTACGCTTGCACGCCGAGAGGAACGTGCAACAGAAACTCGTCGACAGCAGCCGCCCTGCCTCCCGCCCGAGCGGGCGTGCGCGGGGAGCGCACGCGCCGGCCAAGAAACCGCAGTGCTGTCGTCGTCGTCGTCGTCGTCGTCGTCGTCGTCGTCGTCGTCGTCGTAAGTCGGGCGTGTCCCCCTACAGGGGGATTCTCGACGAACAATAAAAAAATACCCAAAACATGTTTTTAAAAAGTATTCCAACATGATAAAAAAATACCCCCAACATGGTCCCCAGACTATTTTGACTGTTTTTCAATCATTTCCCCCTGTAGGGGGACGGGCCCGACTTCATCGTCGTCGTCGTCGTCGTCGTCGTCGTCGTCGTCCGGTACTGCTTCGAGTGCCCCGAGCGCACGCGCCGGCCATCAAAACAGCAGTGCTGCCATCACGCCTCGCCCCGCGGCCCGCCGCGGCTCTCGGCGCTCAGCTCGGCCGGGGCCTTCTCTTCCTGCCCGGTGGTGTTCCAAGGTGGTGTGGCCCGAGGGCCGGGGCCCCGAGGACGAGGCTCCTTGCAGAACGTTATGATCGAGTGCTCCCAGCCCCGCGCTTCGCGCTGCGCGAAGCGCGCAGTGCGAAGAACTTCGCGCTCTCGCGCCGCCTCCCGGGGGAGGAAGAGGAGGACGAGGAGGGATCGGAGCCGAAGCGCGAAGCGCGAATCACTTCGCGCCCTCGAGGGCGCCCCTGTGAATTCACCCTTGGATCCCTCCCTGTCCTTCGGGCTGGGTCGGGCGTGTCCTCCTAGAGGCGGATTTTGGATGACAAATGCAACATATTCAAAAAACAGCCTGGCGAAGAACCCAACCATATGCAATTGCGAATACCGCAATTGTGGGCATCGTCTTCCGTGGAGCTCTCCCTGGAGCCACGAAGCGCTGCACTGGGCGGGGACAGCGCATGCGAAGTGCACCACTGCGGCCTTCGGTGGAGTCCCCTTTGGGGTCCCGAAACGTTGTACCGGGCGGGAGAGACGTATGCGGGCTTCGCCGCTGGGACCTTCGGTGGAGCTCCCTCTGGGGCCACGAAACTGTGTCCTGGGTATGGGGACACGCATGCAAACTGCACAACTGGGACCTTCGGTGGAGATCCCTGTGGGGCCACAGAACGTTGTACCGGGCGGGGGAGACGCATGCGGGCTGCGACGCTGGGAACTTCGGTTGAGCTAATTCTAGACCCACGAAACGCTGCACTGGGCGGGGGAACCGCATGTGGGCGGGGGAACCGCCTGCGAACTGCGCCACTGGGACCTTCGGTGGAGCTCCCTCTGGGGCGACGAAGCGGTGTACTGGGGAGGGGAACTGCATGCGAACTGCGCCACTAGGACCTTCGGTGGAGCTCCTTCTGGGGCCACGAAGCGCTGCACTGAGCGCGGGAACCGCCTGCGAACTGCACCACCGGGACCTTCGGTGAGGCTCCCTTTCGGGCCACGAAACGCTGTACTGGGCAGGGGAACCGCATGAGAACTGCGCCATGCGGATGTTCGGTCGAGCCCTGTACAGGGCCACGAACGGCTGCACTGGGTGGGTGAACCGCATGCGAACTGCGCCACTGGGACCTTCGGTTGAGCTCCCTCTGAGGCTACGAAACGCTGTACTGGGTTGGGGAACCGCCTGCGAACTGCGCCACTGGAGCCTTCGGTGGAGCTCCCTCTAGAGCCACGATACGCTGTACTGGGGAGGGGACAGCGCATGCGAACTGCGCCACTGCGACCTTCGGTGGAGCTCCCTCTGGGGCCACGAAGCGCTGCACTGAGCGCGGGAACCGCCTGCGAACTGCACCACTGGGACCTTCGGTGAGGCTCCCTTTCGGGCCACGAAACGCTGTACTGGGCAGGGGAACGGCATGAGAACTGCGCCATGCGGATGTTCGGTCGAGCCCTGTACAGGGCCACGAACGGCTGCACTGGGTGGGTGATTCGCATGCGAACTGCGCCACTGGGACCTTCGGTTGAGCTCCCTCTGAGGCTACGAAACGCTGTACTGGGTTGGGGAACCGCCTGCGAACTGCGCCACTGGAGCCTTCGGTGGAGCTCCCTCTAGAGCAACGATACGCTGTACTGGGCGGGGACAGCGCATGCGAACTGCGGCACTGGGACCTTCGGTGGAGCTCCCTCTGGGGCCACGAAGCGCTGCACTGAGCGCGGGAACCGCCTGCGAACTGCACCACTGGGACCTTCGGTGAGGTTCCCTTTCGGGCCACGAAAACGCTGTACTGGGCAGGGGAACGGCATGAGAACTGCGCCATGCGGATGTTCGGTCGAGCCCTGTACAGGGCCACGAACGGCTGCACTGGGTGGGTGAACCGCATGCGAACTGCGCCACTGGGACCTTCGGTGGAGCTCCCTCTGAGGCTACGAAACGCTGTACTGGGTTGGGGAACCGCCTGCGAACTGCGCCACTGGAGCCTTCGGTGGAGCTCCCTCTAGAGCCACGATGCGCTGTACTGGGCGGGGACAGCGCATGCGAACTGCGCCACTGGGACCTTCGGTGGAGCGTCCTCTGGGGCCACGAAAAGCTGTACTGGGTGGGGAAACCGCATGCGAACTGCGCCACTGGAACCGTCGGTGGAGCTCTCTATGGCGCCACGAAACATGTGAGGGGTGTGTGGGGGTACGGGAGGAGGGAGGAGGAGGAGGAGGAATGAGGAATGAGGAACCAACACCACAAGATGGTTGGGAAACGCATTCAAACTACATCGAACATAACAAACTTAGCCTGGCGAAAAACCAACCATATCTCATATGCAATTGTGAAAACCGCAATTGTGGGTATCGTCTTCCGTGACGCTGTACTAGGCGGGGAGCCGCAAATTCGGTGGGCGGGGAACCGCATGCGAACCCTGCTGCCGGGGCCCCCGGTGGAGCTCCATATGGGGCCACGAACCGTGTGAGGGGTGTTCCGAAATGGACGCGTTGTGAGCAGGGAACCGCATGCGACCCTTGCCACTGGGGCCTTCGGTGGAGCTCCCTGTGAGGCCACGAACCGTGAGAAGGGTGTGCCGAAATGGTCCTGGGGTGGGCGAGAAACCGCATGCGAACCCTGCTGCTGGGGCCTTCGGTGGAGCTCCATATGGGGCCACGCACCGTGTGAGGGGTGTGCCGAAATGGACGCCCGGTGGGCAGGGAACCGCACGCGAACACTGCCACCGGGGCCTTGGGCGGAGCTCCCTATGGGGCCACAAACTGTGTGCGGGGTGTGCCGAAATAGACGCGCGAAGGGCGGGGAACCGCATACGAACCCTGCTGCCGGGGCCCTGGGTAGAGCTCCCCCGTGTGAAAGGTGTGCCGAAATGGACGCGCGGTGGGCGGGGAACCGCATGCGAACCCTGCTGCCGGGGCCCTCGGTGGAGCCCCTTTTTTTGTGTGTTCGCATTGCACCGATACGCAAGCCATGCGCCGAACTCGCCGCCAGAATAAGCCAAGCAGTGAGGAAGGGCACGCGTGCGAAGAAGTAAGCCGAACGGCTATGCCAATCTGAAGCACGACATACATGCTCACATCGACGCCCTCTCGCTGGCGGATGGCACACCGAAGGCACCCCTACTAGCGCGCGAGAGGGCAGCTACAACTGTACTCGCGCAATCGTGCAACTGAGCAGGTCTGGCCGTCTTTCCAATGCCAATGCCAGCGCCAACCAATGCCAACGGGGCAAGAGCAGCTCGGCTTCAGATTCACTGCGCGCCCATCTGTGGGGCTCCTCATGCCAGGAATGCGCGACGTCTCCACAGTCACATCGCCCCCCGCCACCACCGCCCACGCAAGCTTCGCCAATCCCCCCCCCTCGACATCCACTGGCAGAGGCAGCTTGAAAAGGCTCCCGCGCAGTCGGGACGAACGTGCGCGAGGCCCCGAGAAAACTGGCTGGGCCGAGATCCATCGGACCCTCGCGGGCGGGAAGAGGCACAGGCTCACGATCTATAAACTTGAGAATCTGAAAGTCCCCCTGCACCCACCACCTCCGCCCCCACCACAGATCCCCTCCCGCCCCGACCATCCCACCAGGGCACCTGTCCTGCCCAAGAAGCCCCTTGCTGCGCCGCGGCCGCCTTGGAGAATCCACCCCGCGCGCCCAGCCGGAGGCCCGACAGGGAGCGCGGGAGAGGGAGGCGGCAGGCGGCGGTGAAGAGGCGTGCCCACGGATCCACGTCTCCGAACTGGGCAAGGAAAAGACGGGTGCGACGCCCAGCAACAGATGCTGTCCCAGACCGGCAGCGGCCGCTCTTCGGCAGACGACTTTTGGTCTCAAGTGGGCAACACCACTGGCGACACAGACAGCGAGTCCTGTTCAAAATGAGCAGGGCTGCTGTCGGTCTTGGTCCCCATTCTGTACATACCCTCTCAGACCGATCCAAACTGAGTTCACTACGCCGCGGCCAGGGCCGAGTCCTCCTCCTGGATGCCACGGAGCTTGGAGTGCTTGCTATCTCCGCTCTTCATCCGCTGGAAGCCCTCGCTGGCGCCGCTCAGCTGCCGCTCAAACTGCGCCTCCAGGGCCCGCGACTCCTTGATCGTCTCCTTCTGAGAGTGGACGTAGAGGGCGTGAGCGACCGCGAGGCAGCAGTAGAGGGCCGAGGGCATGAGAAGCGTGAAAAGCTCGAGTGCATTGTACGAGATAGTGCCCACGAGTGCGCCTCCGATGAATCCGACAAGCAGGAGAGTCATGAGAACCACCTTGTTTCTGTCCGCGGTGTGCTCCTCCAAGTCATCAGGCGCATAATTGCTGAAGGACAGGCGCTTCTTCAGAAATCTGGAGATGGTTCGGCCCGCAGCCAGGCCGAGGTCCGTGCCCGTCCCCGTCATGTGGGTCGTGCGGATGACGTTGCCGCTCCAAGACGAGCAGAGTCCGTTCTGGAGGCCGCAACCGAGGGCCAGAAGGTGCGCACCAAGCTTGCCGTAACCAGACAGGAAGATCGGCATGGCCATGATGAACGCGAGCATCATGAGGGCGGTCGAGTAGGGCGCCGTGCCGATTTTGAGAGTCGCCTTGGGAATGAGCAAGCCGCACAATATCGATCCGACAATGAAGTCAAGGACGAGCAACGCTGGGGTGTCGACATCCCCGTCTTGCAGGTCAAATGAACGAAGCC